AGGACGAGGAAGGTATATGTGTGTGTGTGTGTGTGTGTGTGTGTGTGTGCGTGTGTGTGTGTGTTGAAATATGTCTTTACAAATGTGAGACTCACTTTATACAAGATAAATGACCCTCAAATAACAGTGCATTGAATCTCAGTAAAATCAATCATACTTTAATTGCACAAAGGCGGTGTTTTAAAGGAATACTGGGTGGCACTGATGGGGTAGCTGCTGTTTACTGGTCCTCTGTCTCTACCCAATCAGGATGCTGTGCACTTGACTCTATGGTTAGCTGTCTGGGGGAACCACTCTTCTGGATCCCATTTTACAGATGAGATGGCATGCTCGTGGTTAGATAGCTTCCTGAGTGTCGGAGCTACTGAGTTCCTCTAGAGGCCAAGATCAGCACTACTCTGTTGGACCCAGTTCCCAAGCTCTTAACCACAATGTAACCCCTTTGGGGGGGGTATTAATAACATCAGTGATTTTCCAGCATCAAAGAGTTTTGTATTTATTAATATTTGGCATCTGCCTCAAAGACACAACACAGGGGTCAGTGAGATGGTATATTGGATAAAGGGACTTACCACCAAACCTGAGGACCTGAGTTCTATCCCTGTAACCCACATACATGATGAAAGCATGCCCCACCCCACATAATAAATGAAAATGCACTTTAAAAATATAAAGAGTACTAGACAGATAATGGCCAATCCCATTTTGTAGCCAGAGAGCTGTAGGTTGACTGAGGCGAGAAGACTTGAGTCTGGTGTGATATCTACAGTATCAAGTGTCTGGCTCAGGCCTGGACCCCAGGTCTCCTTGGTTCACTGTGATTGATAGAAAGGATTGGATGGGGCCAGCTCCCTGTCCTTCCTGTTCCTCTCCCTCTTCTGTTTAACATCTCTGTCTCCAAGTGGTCCTTTTCTCAACTCCATCTGCCACTCCTCTCACTGACCCCAGTTTCTATCCACCCTGGTCTCCTTGTTCCTACTTTGCCAAGAGGATATTCCATGACAGTGGTCTTGTTTTTTTCTGCCTCCTCTCCTCCATTTTCTCCACAAACTCATCTGAGGCTGCTGCTCTGATCCCCCCCCAAAAAAACAGCAGCCCTGCCCTTTATCCCCCTCACCAGCTGTCTCTCTGCTACAAACTACTACCTGGCTTATTTTGTTTTGGTTTTTTAAAAAAAGTGCATTTACATCTTGATTATAAGCTCCATGAGGACACTGTTGTTATCTTCTGCTTTTATTGATGGGTATCCATGAAGCAGCCTCGTGTTGGGAAGGCTATGACAGTCATGACCATCTTGGAGCTGTGTCCCTGGAGTTTTTATGACTCTGTGATGAGCCCCCAGGGCATTGTGTGTGGGTAAGTATCACTGCTAGGCTCATAAACACCCACCCTCTTTCAGCTGGCATGGCCACCTTCGACACTCTACCCCCAGCCTTTCCATTGATGCTTCTAAATGTATCGGGGCTGGATGATGTCACTGTAATGCATTTCAGGAATGGCTGTTTGGTTTTATACACATTTGAGTTGCTTTGAATGCAAAGCTGACATCATACCAAAGGCGGCAGTGAACAGCATATGCACAGTAAACAGCCAGAGACTGTCTCATTGATTAACAGATGAGGCCTCTATTATCGATCAAAGCTTGGTGAGGAAATTTATCACTTTTAATTTCAGGGCTGCCAAATATTTCTGCCTCTGAGCCAGACATTCCAGAGACAATTTAATGTACAGCCTTCTTGGGAGAGGGGATTTCATCTGGTGTCCACTTTGCTCTTAGTTCCTCGCCCTGCAGAGTCTCAGGATGTGAGTGTCTCTGGGCAGGCATGGAAGGAATACTGGGGCTTCATGAATGGGAGCCAGCAGTGAGAGCCATCATCTGTGGTATCCAAGTGGACCATGGAGGCTGACCCAGAGTCCTCTGGGGAGAGGGACTTTTCACATGCTGAGCTTAATATCATGACTTAAGCCAGTGTGGAATGAAGGTGACATTGAAGATGTGGTCAGGCTGGGATTGGGGAAGCAGTCTTTTGGTAGATGTGTGCTGGTCTGTTTTTATCTTCCTCTGAACCCTGGGTGTTGGTGTACATTCGCCCTTCATTTCCTCCCTCCCTTTCTCTGCCATGAAAGTGAAACGCTACTCACAGCCCCATTGATGGCTGTTTCTAAGAACCTCTCCACACCACGTCTCTTTGAAGCTTACAGCACTATTGGGCTCCTAACTCGATTGTGATAACAGGGCTCCAAAGCAGTGGCCGAGCCCATGAGGTGCCTGCCCCTCCCAGTCTTCTTTGGGGAGTTGTGAGAACAGATAGAAGAACCAAAGAGAATCAGATCCCTCACAAATCCACCAAAAATCATTGGTGGTTAATGATTCAGGCCAAGGGGAAGTTGCTCATTGTGAGGGAGCTGGAACTGCATCCAGCCCAGCTCCCCGATCCTGACCTTCTCTGCTTTTTGAAGCATTTCCAATGTATCCCTTCCCCTGAACATGGATGAAAGTGGTCCTATCTGTCACCTCCAAACACACAGACACAGCTTTGCCACCGTCCCTGTAGAGATTTTCTTGGCTTCATTTTCAAAGCTCTGTAAGCCATGGGCCAGGTGCTTGGCCTAAGGATACCCTGTGGCTTTCAGGGACACCCAGAGGTTGTCGTAGGCTTCCTCCTGCCTCCAGATGAAACTCAGCCACAGTCACCCGAGGCAGATGATTCTAATTATTTTGAAGTCTCTTCAGGAAAAGCAATTTCATATCTGCCCTGGAGTGCTTTCCCTCACATTTATCCAGCCAACTCCTGTGCTGAACACATACTAGGGTATACATAGCCTGTAGGTCGATGGGAGTACAGGTGTCAATGAGACTGGGGTCATCACACTCTGTAGTCCTTATACTCTTCATTGACAAAAACTGTTCTTTGGTGTTTAAGTCTCTGTAACTTGATCTATATTCCTTGAGGCATGGATTTTCAAACTTTTTTATGTGACAAGATCTTTCTTTGTAGCCAAGGCTGACCTGGAACCCACCATGTAGCCTAGGCTGGGCTTGAACTTGTGATCCTTGTTTCATTTTCCTGGCTGCTGGGATTACAGATGTGCACAATCATGTCCATCCTCAGATTTGTTTAAAATAAAGTACTAGAATGATTTTTTTTCCAAATGCAACCTGACATGAAGCCCCGATACATGAAATGGGTAACTGGATGAGTATTTAGAAAAGAGAGGGGAGGTGGCCTAGTTATCCATAAGGCATCCTTGCAGATGGAACCCTGAAAAACCTGAAAATAAGGAGGATTAAGAGTTGTAGAGTCAGGCTGTTGAGATTTACATCTGTGTCTACCCTCTGTTCTGTGTGACAGCTGGCACATCCTTAACCTCTCTGAGCTGGTGGTTATCCATCTGCTAAATGGAGGGTGGTAGGGGTGAATACTCCAAATGTTATTGTTAGGACTTGATGAAGCAATACATATTCAGCTTTTAGCATCCTGCCCAATATATAGTAAATCTATGGAAAATCCTAGGTGGATTGAAAACAGCAGCCGGGTTTACAAATGTGCAAAGAATCGTCTAACACTTACAAGGCTGTAAGGTACTGGTAAGACCCCTGCCCCAGGCACACAGAAGGAAGAGCTCAGTCACAATGAATGGTACAGGGCAGGTTGGAAGAGGCAGAGCAGTGAGGTCTGGAGGGTATGCCCTTGGTGCATGGTCTTGAACGTGAAATGGCATGGAATAAACAGGAGTGAGACTAGGACAGACACATAATGGGGAGCCAGGCAATGCCTACAAAAGGTGCTAAGGGACAGTCTGGCTATGGAGTTGCTTGGCTCGCTGGGCCAGGTTATGGCAAAATGAAGGAACTGAGAACCAGCACAGATTGCAAGTCTCTTACATAAAGAAGTATGAGAAATTATACGGCCTTCAAGGGAGGATCAGACAACCTAAATCCAACCCTGAGTCTTCCAGTGGTCCAGGCATGATACTGCAAAGGTTGGGATAAACGAGGATTTTCCCTACACAACAGAGATGTCCACAGTAAAGACATTTTGAAGAAAAAGCACCAAGACTTGAGACGACGACCCTTAGATGAGATGCAGAAGACTACTGAGCAAGTGATGTGATGCTGTTTTACATTGACCTGGTGACACTGTTGCTTTGAGCTTTGAGTATGGCTCATGTTGGCTCTGAGAATACTGATGGAGTTTGGGTTGTCAGAGGCTCCCACCATGAATCAGGTGGACAGTGCTGTAGACAGGATGATAATGGTTTCCCAAAGAGTTGGGCTCGAAGGATGGTGTGGCCAGAGAAAAATGTCACCTTGCTCAGCTGTGAAGGCACGGGTATCAGAGCTGAGACCTCAGTGATGTCTAGGGATTGAAGGCCTAAGGGATGCAGAGAGGCAGAGGAGCTGTAGAAGGAAATGCAGTGATGAGGGGGAAGGCAGCCCCTTCAGAGAGCCACCACAGCCTACTCTGACTAGAGGGGAGAGAGGTGTGGAAAATGAAGCATGAAAGACAGCACGCCACCAAGAGCTGTGTGCATCCTAGGAAGGAGTTTGGGCAAAATCCTCAAAGTACTGGGAAATTCTGCAGGGGTGTTAAGTGGCCACATGCAAGGGGCAGTTAGAGAGTCACCAGTGAATTAATTTTGCACACACTGACTCAGAGGGTGTGTAGATATAAGTATTTTTCTATGAAATACAAGGCAACTGATGTCCCTCCTTGTTGGTATCTTTTGCTCCTATCCATCCACCCAACTGAACTGGCCTTTCATCTTCATGAGACATCTTACCTAGACTCTTAGTTTTGTCTGGACCATGCTGATTTTATTTCTTCTCCTCCAGAGACCTGGGTGAGCAGTCACCTGTCCAAGGTAGATCTGGGCTAGCTACTGAGGTTATGGATTATCTCTGACTCAGAATCCTGTATCCCTGCCACTTCCCTACTACCCAAATGCATTCCACCCTGTGGACTATGGTTCTAATGTTAGACATTTCTTTCTTTCAGCGGGTGCCAAAGCCTTTGTGTGTGATCAGTGTGGTGCCCAGTTCTCAAAGGAGGATGCTCTGGAGACACACAGACAGACCCATACTGGTGAGTGTCCCTGACTCCATTCTCCAGACTGCCCAGTATCTTAGTACAAAGGAGGTCTGGGGATTTGGTGCCATTCTCATCCTGACAACATGGTATCATCATGTCCAGAGTCTTTGTGGATGGGAATAGGCTTGTGTTGACCCCTTTCCATGGGGCTGGGCAAGGGTTACAGATAGGACAGTTCCCTGTGAGAACTGAGTTAGGCCAATAACGAGCCACTGAGCCTCCATCTTCTCCAGGTGTCTTTGTGTGTTCTTGCTAAGGCCCTGGGGAGTCTGTGGTGTTGCCTAAGTATCTGTTCCCCTAGCTATTGGTCAGAAACCTCTTCACACTCTGTCTGGTGAAATGCAGAAACCCTGATGTTGCTACACTGTCTGATCCTCTCTGCTGTAACAGGTTGAGTCATCATCTCTAACACATCCATCTCCACACAGGGATGTATTTGAACAGTATTAACTGGCAGAGATAGAGCTCTATTTGATTCCACAGTGCAGATTTCACAGAATCAGCATCATCTCATGACTATGATTGACAGCCCTGTTGCCTTCTTGGCCAGGATTCACACTGTTTGGTTGCTTACCATGTAGAGGCACCATTCTGTTTGCTTTCCATGATCCCTCTTGGCTAGTCTGTCAGGAAGCCTGTAAGCTACTCTTAAGTCACAAATGAAGAAAATAAGTCTTAAAAGAGGGCAGAAGCTTGCTGAAGTCAGGAACAGGGGATAAATGTGACAGTTCAGAGGTTGGACTGCCTGGATTTCATACGGACTGGGGCAGTTCCTAAATGGAACTGTGGATTAATTACTTAACTTTTTTCATTTGGGTGTCCCCATTGATTATAAAAGTGGAGCAAATGACAGTATGGATCACTCAAACAGTGTTTTGTGGGGATTAAATAAAAATATTTTACCTGAAGTTCTTCACAAAGTGGCTCATAGTAAGTATTTAATGAATAGAAGTTGACTGACACAATTTAACAAATGTTTATTGTAAAGTGGGGACATTTAGGCATTTAGGATACAGAAGCATATGAGAGAGACAATCCTGACTCTCATGGCACTGGAGTTGCTGCTGGGACATTGAGTATAAGCCACAGCATATGACACAATGTCAAATTAAAGTGGGTGCAGCCAAGAAAAACTAAAGCAGGTGAGTGGGAGAAAATGAGAGGAAGAAAAGTGGGATTTCAGATAAAGTGGCCATGGACGAAGGCTTCTTTGACAAGGTGACATCTGAGCAGATGCCTGAGATGAAGGATGAGCCACTCAGATGCCCCACAGGCCTTGAGGCCAGGTGAGCCTCATATGTTCAGAAGAACAGTGGGCGGGACAGAGAGCAAAGTGGCCAATGAGCATGGAAACAAGGCAGGTCTCTCAACCCTAGAATTTGGGCTTTATTTTGTATTTGCTAACAGTTCTTCTGAGGAGCATGTTAGTTAGTTGTTTCATTTTATCAGTGACAACAAGCAGTTTAAGGATGGAAGGGTGGATTTTGGCTCACTGAAGTTACAAGTCTGTCATGTCCCTCCTCAGGTAAACCTCTTTGGACACAGCTTCTCATGTCCAGAAGTGTGTCTCCCAGATGATTGCAAATCCAGTCATGTTGACACTGAAGATTAACTATCACAAGGAGCGGGGAAATATTTGCAGATCATGTGTTAAACTTACAGCTAGAAAATATAAAGGGCTCTTACAAGCTGAGAATACAATACTAATAACTAAAGTAGAAAATAAGTAAAGGAAATGGCACATAACTCCAAAGATAGACATAGCCAAAGTGCACATAAAAAGATACTCCATGTTATTAGCTGCCTGAGAGATGCAGATGAAACCACAGTGAGGTACCACTCACTCACCAGGATGTGACTCTCCAAAAAGAGAGATGAAGATGCGGGGAAAACCAAAACCCTCAAATGTTACCGGAGGGAAGGTAGAGGCGGGCACAGCCACTTTGAAGAACCACCTGGAAGCTCTTATGATGTTTAAACATAGAATCACCAGATGACACAGCAGTTTTACTTCTTTCTGTCTACCAAGAGAGATGAAAATGTATGTCCATACAGAAACTTGAATATAAGTATCCATAATGTCAGTCAAGTGGAAGTAACCCAATGTCAGTCAACATACAGACAAGCAAAATACTAGGAATACACATGCAATGAATGAGGTTTGGTTGAAAAAAAGGATTGAAGTATTGATACATGCTATAGCATGGCTAAACCTTTAAAAACATTCATTGAAAGAAGCCAAACAGAAAAGTCCATGTATTATATGGACTCCATTTATATTTACATATGTCTAGAATGGGCAAATCTGTACAGGCATTGGAAATTATTAGTAAATACCACAGGCTCAGATACTGGGGATAAGTAGATATTGACAGCTGAGGGATACAAAGTTTCTTTGGGGGAAGACAATCACATTCTATAATTGACTGTGGTGATGATTATACAATATATTAAAATCCATTAAACTGTATACTTTGAAAGTATAGATACATTGCATGTCATGTGTAACATAGGTTTTAAAGCTGAGTGAATATGTATGTGTGTGCATATGTAATCTGACATTGTCAGGAAGACTAACTGGTAGTCCACACATGCCACCTCATGTATTTTCATAGATAGATAAATACAGATATATAAATACATGTATATCTATATACACACACAAGCTTGAAGAGAGAAGGGAAAGACACTCTGTTGGGGGACTCTTGGGGAGAACTCTGGAGATAAAACTCAGGACCTCATGCTTGCTAGGTATGCACACCACACTGAGCCACATCCCTAGTTTCCACTGGAAGATTTTGAGTGTTAGTGACTTAACTTATACATGTGGAAGTGCACTTGTATTGGGAGTTGACCATAGAGAATGTTCCAGCTGTTAGCTGCTGTGTAAGACACCACTCCAGTAGCCCCTTAGAGAAACCAAGTGTTCTGAAGGATGGTTGGGCTCAGCTGGGTGGTTTTCACTTTGACTTCCTTGTGGCTGCCATTAGCTGATAGCTGGGGCTGGCACCCTCTGAGTAGTCCAGGTGTGTGTCATGGTGACTTCTCCACTTACACACCTGACTTAGGACTCCTCCAACGTGGCCTGTCAGCAGTAGAGCAGCCTCTGCCTGTTTCTGTAGAAGACAATAACTCAGGCTACAGGAGCCCAGAAAGCACACAATGCCAGCTCTATTACAAGCTGGGAAAACAACTTGAAACATAGTCTCACCTCTGCTCTATTTTGCTGTTTAATATTGTCACAGGTCACCCCCAGATTTAAAGGAGTAGAAACCTAGATTTCCCTTCTCAATGGGGAAGTGGTGAGAACCTGTAGGGAAAGAGAAATTAGTGGTGGCCATCTTGGAGACAAGCAACCACAGTGCCTAGAGGATCCAAGGAAGACTGGGTTGGATTCTAGTGCCATTTTCTTATTGCTAGACTACACAGACTCAGGAATCCCACTCTGGGAATTCTGACCTAGGATGGCTGAGAGTAATTTTGACTTTTTCAGGTAGCTTCACTCTGTCCATCTGCACCAAATTCGAAGTAGCGGAAGCAAGCTTCCTTCTAAGCCTGGGGCTGGGGAAGCAGAGTCCTGAACTCCAGGACTCTGTTGGTTGCTCTCAGACAGACCCAGGTGCTCACTGATTACCTGCTGTGGCCCTGGCACGTGTCTAGTAGGTGGTAACAGCACGGCCATATTCCAAGAACACTGGAGACCCAAGCATGGTCTGTGAACTTTGCTTTCTCTCAGAGACCTTGTGGCTTTCTGCCAACAGAGAGAGGCTCCATCTGAGAGAAGTCAGCTATGTGAAGACAAAGTGATGGTTGTTTAGTAGACCACATGTGACTTCCTCAGTGAAGATTGAGAAAACTAAGCTCTGACAAGGGTGGAAAGTGAAACAATTGAGATGAAAGGCCAGGGTAGAAGCTGGGTGTAGGCTATGGGAAAACAACCCCAGAAGAGCGTCAGTTACTTCCTAGCATAGAACAGGTACTCAGTGTGGCAGTCTGCATCACTCCAGAGTATCTTCCTGCTGCATGGCAGGGCTCCTGCATCACTAGTGATAGGTACTTCCTGTCAAACCCTGCTATACCCCTCAGGCTGCTCTAATGTCAATGAAAGAACATGTGAGTGCCATTTAGCATCTCTGTTTTAGAAAGGAGGCCTCAGGAGCCAGAGCTGGGCCTCGGTTGCTAGAATGTTTCCTGGCAGTGTGAACCCCTGGGTTCCATCCCCACCCAACACCACCTACGTGGAGCATGGTGGTGCATGCCTATCCAGGGTGAATCCATCCCCACCCAACACCACCTACGTGGAGCATGGTGGTGCATGCCTATAATCCCAGGATCTCCAGAGGTGGAAGCGGGTGGATCATTTCAAGTTCAAGATCATTTCCAGCTAATACTATATACAAGACCCCGTCACACACACATACACACACACACACACACACACACACACACACACACAAAACCAAAACCCCGTCACACACACACACACACACACACACACACACACACACACACAAACACACACTCACTCACACAGGGGCCCAGGAGAGGAGTTCCAAGGGAATGTTAAAAATAATACTGGCTGGGTATGGTGGCACACACTTTTAATCCCAGCACTTGGGAGTCAGAGGAAGGTGGATCTCTGTGAGTTTAATGCCAGCCTGGTTTATGTAGTGAGTTTCAGGACAGCCAGGACTTCATAGAGAGACCCTGTCATAATAATTAATAATAATAAGAAGAAGAACAATGATGATGATGATGCCACAAGAGACAGACAAGCCAGAGAGCTACCAGGAGAATGGAAAAGGGATCTGGAGAGGAGGAGGAATGGAGACCCTGGGGACAGTACAATACTGCTGTGTCACTTGATACTTTTAATACATCAGTTTATCAATCACCTACCTTAGCAGACCAATTTTACAGATAAGAAAGTGGAGGCTAGAAGGTACCTATCAGGAAGTCCAGAGCTGAAACCTGTCCCAAGTCCAACTTTAGTG